GCAGGTGAGTGGTGCAGCAGAGCAGGTGAGTGGTGCAGCAGAGCAGGTGAGTGGTGCAGCAGAGCAGGTGAGTGGTGCAGCAGAGCAGGTGAGTGGTGCGGCAGCAGAGCAGGTGAGTGGTGCAGCAGAGCAGGTGAGTGGTGCGGCAGAGCAGGTGAGTGGTGCAGCAGAGCAGTGAGTGGTGCAGCAGAGCAGGGTGAGTGGTGCAGGCAGAGCAGGTGAGTGGTGCGGCAGAGCAGGTGAGTGGTGCGGCAGAGCAGGTGAGTGGTGCGGCCAGAGCAGGTGAGTGGTGCGGCAGAGCAGGTGAGTGGTGCGGCAGAGCAGGTGAGTGGTGCAGCAGAGCAGGTGAGTGGTGCAGCAGAGCAGGTGAGTGGTGCAGCAGAGCAGGTGAGTGGTGCAGCAGAGCAGGTGAGTGGTGCGGCAGAGCAGGTGAGTGGTGCAGCAGAGCAGGTGAGTGGTGCAGGCAGAGCAGGTGAGTGGTGCAGCAGAGCAGGTGAGTGGTGCAGGCAGAGCAGGTGAGTGGTGCGGCAAGAGCAGGTGAGTGGTGCGGCAGAGCAGGTGAGTGGTGCAGGCAGAGCAGGTGAGTGGTGCAGCAGAGCAGGTGAGTGGTGCAGCAGAGCAGGTGAGTGGTGCAGGCAGAGCAGGTGAGTGGTGCAGCAGAGCAGGTGAGTGGTGCAGCAGAGCAGGTGAGTGGTGCAGCAGAGCAGGTGAGTGGTGCAGGCAGAGCAGGTGAGTGGTGCAGCAGAGCAGGTGAGTGGTGCGGCAGAGCAGGTGAGTGGTGCAGCAGAGCAGGTGAGTGGTGCAGCAGAGCAGGTGAGTGGTGCAGCAGAGCAGGTGAGTGGTGCGGCAGAGCAGGTGAGTGGTGCGGCAGAGCAGGTGAGTGGTGCGGCAGAGCAGGTGAGTGGTGCGGCAGAGCAGGTGAGTGGTGCAGCAGAGCAGGTGAGTGGTGCGGCAGAGCAGGGTGAGTGGTGCGGCAGAGCAGGTGAGTGGTGCGGCAGAGCAGGTGAGTGGTGCGGCAGAGCAGGTGAGTGGTGCGGCAGAGCAGGTGAGTGGGTGCGAGCAGAGCAGGTGAGTGGTGCGGCAGCAGAGCAGGTGAGTGGTGCAGAAGAGCAGGTGAGTGGTGCAGCAGAGCAGTGAGTGGTGCAGCAGAGCAGGTGAGTGGTGCAGCAGAGCAGGTGAGTGGTGCGGCAGAGCAGGTGAGTGGTGCAGCAGAGCAGGTGAGTGGTGCAGCAGAGCAGGTGAGTGGTGCAGCAGAGCAGGTGAGTGGTGCGGCAGAGCAGGTGAGTGGTGGAGCAGAGCAGGTGAGTGGTGCAGCAGAGCAGGTGAGTGGTGCAGCAGAGCAGGTGAGTGGTGCAGCAGAGCAGGTGAGTGGTGCAGCAGAGCAGGTGAGTGGTGCAGCAGAGCAGGTGAGTGGTGCGGCAGAGCAGGTGAGTGGTGCGGCCAGCAGCAGAGTGAGTGGCGGCAGAGCAGGGAGTGAGTGGGCAACAGAGCAGGTGAGTGGTGCGGCAGAGAGCAGGTGAGTGGTGCGGCAGAGCAGGTGAGTGGTGCAGCAGAGCAGGTGAGTGGTGCAGCAGAGCAGGTGAGTGGTGCGGCAGAGCAGGTGAGTGGGCGGCAGAGCAGGTGAGTGGTGCAGCAGAGCAGGTGAGTGGTGCAGCAGAGCAGGTGAGTGGTGCAGCAGAGCAGGTGAGTGGTGCAGCAGAGCAGGTGAGTGGTGCAGCAGAGCAGGTGAGTGGTGCAGCAGAGCAGGTGAGTGGTGCAGCAGAGCAGGTGAGTGGTGCAGCAGAGCAGGTGAGTGGTGCAGCCAGAGCAGGTGAGTGGTGCAGCAGAGCAGGTGAGTGGTGCAGCAGAGCAGGTGAGTGTGCAGCAGAGCAGGTGAGTGGTGCAGCAGAGCAGGTGAGTGGTGCAGGCAGAGCAGGTGAGTGGTGCGGCAGAGCAGGTGAGTGGTGCGGCAGAGCAGCGTGAGTGTGCGCAGTAGCAGGTGAGTGGTGCAGCAGAGCAGGTGAGTTGGGCGGCAGAGCAGGTGAGTGGTGCAGCAGAGCAGGTGGTGGTTGCGCAGAGCAGGTGAGTGGTGCAGCAGAGCAGGTGAGTGTGCAGCAGAGCAGGTGAGTGGTGCAGCAGAGCAGGTGAGTGGTGCAGCAGAGCAGGTGAGTGGTGCAGCAGAGCAGGTGAGTGGTGCAGCAGAGCAGGTGAGTGGTGCCAGCAGAGCAGGTGAGTGGTGCGGCAGAGCAGGTGAGTGGTGCGGCAGAGCAGGTGAGTGGTGCAGCAGAGCAGGTGCGTGGTGCAGGCCGAGCAGGTGAGTGGTGCGGCAAGCAGGTGAGTGGTGCGCAGAGCAGGTGAGTAGGTGCAGCAGAGCAGGTGAGTGGTGCGGCAGAGCAGGTGAGTGGTGCAGCCAGAGCAGGTGAGTGGTGCGGCAGAGCAGGTGAGTGGTGCAGCAGAGCAGGTGAGTGGTGCGCAGAGCAGGTGAGTGGTGGCAGGCAGAGCAGGTGAGTGGTGCAGCAGAGCAGGTGAGTGGTGCGGCAGAGCAGGTGATAGGTGCTGCAGAGCAGGTGAGTGGTGCGGCAGAGCAGGTGAGTGGTGCGGCAGAGCAGGTTGAGTGGTGCAGCAGAGCAGGTGAGTGGTGCAGCAGAGCAGGTGAGTGGTGCAGCAGAGAAGGTGAGTGGTGCAGCAGAGCAGGTGAGTGGTGCGCGCAGAGCAGGTGAAGTGGTGCAGCAGAGCAGGTGAGTGGTGCAGCAGAGCAGGTGAGTGGTGCAGCAGAGCAGGTGAGTGGTGCAGCAGAGCAGGTGAGTGGTGCGGCAGAGCAGGTGAGTGGTGCGGCAGAGCAGGTGAGTGGTGCGGCAGAGCAGGTGATTGGTGCAGGCAGAGCAGGTGAGTGGTGCGGCAGAGCAGGTGAGTGGTGCAGCAGAGCAGGTGAGTGGTGCGGCAGAGCAGGTGAGTGGTTGCAGCAGAGCAGGTGAGTGGTGCAGCAGAGCAGGTGAGTGGTGCAGCAGAGCAGGTGAGTGGTGCAGAGAGCAGGAGTGGTGCAGCAGAGCAGGTGAGTGGTGCAGCAGAGCAGGGTGAGTGGTGCAGCAGAGCAGGTGAGTGGTGCGGCAGAAGCAGGTGAGTGGTGCGGCAGAGCAGGTGAGTGGTGCGGCCAGAGCAGGTGAGTGGTGCGGCAGAGCAGGTGAGTGGTGCGGCAGAGCAGGTGGAGTGGTGCGGCAGAGCAGGTGAGTGGTGCGGCAGAGCAGGTGAGTGGTGCGGCAGAGCAGGTGAGTGGTGCGGCAGAGCAGGTGAGTGGTGCGGCAGAGCAGGTGAGTGGTGCGGCAGAGCAGGTGAGTGGTGCGGCAGAGCAGGTGAGTGGTGCGGCATGACAGGTCGGTCGTGCAGAACTGCAGGTGAGTGGTGCGGCAGAGCAGGTGAGTGGTGCGGCAAGAGCAGGTGAGTGGTGCGGCAGAGCAGGTGAGTGGTGCGGCACTGAGCAGGTGAGTGGTGCGGCAGAGCAGGTGATTGGTGCGGCAGAGCAGGTGAGTGGTGCGCAGAGCAGGTGAGTGTGCGGCAGAGCAGGTGAGTGGTGCGGCATTGCAGGTCGGTGCTGCGACAGAGCAGGTGAGTGGTGCGGCAGAGCAGGTGAGTGGTGCGGCAGAGCAGGTGAGTGGTGCGGCAGAGCAGGTGAGTGGTGCGGCAGAGCAGGTGAGTGGTGCCGGCAGAGCAGGTGAGTGGTGCGGCAAGAGCAGGTGAGTGGTGCGGCATGAGCAGGTGAGTGGTGCGGCAGAGCAGGTGAGTGGTGCAGGCAGAGCAGGTGAGTGGTGCGGCAGAGCAGGTTGAGTGGTGCGGCAGAGCAGGTGTAGTGGTGCGGCAGAGCAGGTGAGTGGTGCGGCAGAGCAGGTGAGTGGTGCGGCCAGAGCAGGTGAGTGGTGCGGCAGAGCAGGTGAGTGGTGCAGCAGAGCAGGTGAGTGGTGCGGCAGAGCAGGTGAGTGTGCTGCAGCAGAGCAGGTGAGTGGTGCAGCAGAGCAGCGTGAGTGGTGCGGCAGAAGCAGATGAGTGGTGCGGGCAGAGCAGGTGAGTGGTGCAGCAGAGCAGGTGAGTGGTGCAGCAGAGCAGGTGAGTGGTGCAGCAGAGCAGGTGAGTGGTGCAGCAGAGCAGGTGAGTGGTGCGGCAGAGCAGGTGAGTGGTGCGGCAGAGCAGGTGAGTGGTGCAGAAGAGCAGGTGAGTGGTGCAGCAGAGCAGGTGAGTGGTGCAGCAGAGCAGGTGAGTGGTGCAGCAGAGCAGGTGAGTGGTGCGGCAGAGCAGGTGAGTGGTGCAGCAGAGCAGGTGAGTGGTGCAGCAGAGCAGGTGAGTGGTGCAGCAGAGCAGGTGAGTGGTGCGACAGAGCAGGTGAGTGGTGCAGCAGAGCAGGTGAGTGGTGCAGCAGAGCAGGTGAGTGGTGCAGCAGAGCAGGTGAGTGGTGCAGCAGAGCAGGTGAGTGGTGCAGCAGAGCAGGTGAGTGGTGCAGCAGAGCAGGTGAGTGGTGCGGCAGAGCAGGTGAGTGGTGCGGCAGAGCAGGTGAGTGGTGCGGCAGAGCAGGTGAGTGGTGCAACAGAGCAGGTGAGTGGTGCGGCAGAGCAGGTGAGTGGTGCGGCAGAGCAGGTGAGGGGTGCAGCAGAGCAGGTGAGTGGTGCAGCAGAGCAGGTGAGTGGTGCGGCAGGAGCAGGTGAGTGGTGCGGCAGAGCAGGTGAGTGGTGCAGCAGAGCAGGTGAGTGGTGCAGCAGAGCAGGTCAGTGGTGCAGCAGAGCAGGTGAGTGGTGCAGCAGAGCAGGTGAGTGGTGCAGCAGAGCAGGTGAGTGGTGCAGCAGAGCAGGTGAGTGGTGCAGCAGAGCAGGTGAGTGGTGCAGCAGAGCAGGTGAGTGGTGCAGCAGAGCAGGTGAGTGGTGCGGCAGAGCAGGTGAGTGGTTGCCGCAGAGCAGGTGAGTGGTGCAGCAGAGCAGGTGAGTGGTGCAGCAGAGCAGGTGAGTGGGCGGCAGAGCAGGTGAGGGTGCGGCAGAGCTATGGCTGGTGCAGAGCAGGTGAGTCGAGTGGTGCAGCAGAGCAGGTGAGTGGTGCAGCAGAGCAGGTGAGTGGTGCAGCAGAGCAGGTGAGTGGTGCAGCAGAGCAGGTGAGTGGTGCAGCAGAGCAGGTGAGTGGTGCAGCAGAGCAGGTGAGTGGTGCAGCAGAGCAGGTGAGTGGTGCGGCAGAGCAGGTGAGTGGTGCGCAGCAGAGCAGGTGAGTGGTGCAGCAGAGCAGGTGAGTGGTGCAGCAGAGCAGGTGAGTGGTGCGGCAGAGCAGGTGAGTGGTGCGGCAGAGCAGGTGAGTGGTGCAGCAGAGCAGGTGAGTGGTGCGGCAGAGCAGGTGAGTGGTGCAGCAGAGCAGGTGAGTGGTGCAGCAGAGCAGGTGAGTGGTGCGGCAGAGCAGGTGAGTGGTGCGGCAGAGCAGGTGAGTGGTGCGGCAGAGCAGGTGAGTGGTGCGCGCGCAGAGCAGGTGAGTGGTGCGGCAGAGCAGGTGAGTGGTGCAGCAGAGCAGGTGAGTGGTGCAGCAGAGCAGGTGAGTGGTGCAGCAGAGCAGGTGAGTGGTGCGGCAGAGAAGGTGAGTGGTGCAGCAGAGCAGGTGAGTGGTGCAGCAGAGCAGGTGAGTGGTGCAGCAGAGCAGGTGAGTGGTGCAGCAGAGCAGGTGAGTGGTGCGGCAGAGCAGGTGAGTGGTGCGGCAGAGCAGGTGAGTGGTGCAGCAGAGCAGGTGAGTGGTGCAGCAGAGCAGGTGAGTGGTGCAGCAGAGCAGGTGAGTGGTGCAGCAGAGCAGGTGAGTGGTGCGGCAGAGCAGGTGAGTGGTGCAGCAGAGCAGGTGAGTGGTGCGGCAGAGCAGGTGAGTGGTGCAGCAGAGCAGGTGAGTGGTGCAGCAGAGCAGGTGAGTGGTGCAGCAGAGCAGGTGAGTGGTGCGGCAGAGCAGGTGAGTGGTGCGGCAGAGCAGGTGAGTGGTGCGGCAGAGCAGGTGAGTGGTGCGGCAGAGCAGGTGAGTGGTGCAGCAGAGCAGGTGAGTGGTGCGGCAGAGCAGGTGAGTGGTGCGGCAGAGCAGGTGAGTGGTGCGGCAGAGCAGCGTGGCAGTGGTGCGGCAGAGCAGGTGAGTGGTGCGGCAGAGCAGGTGAGTGGTGCGGCAGAGCAGGTGAGTGGTGCGGCTGAGCAGGTGAGTGGTGCGGCAGAGCAGGTTGAGTGGTGCGGCAGAGCAGGTGAGTGGTGCAGCAGAGCAGGTGAGTGGTGCGGTCAGAGCAGGTGAGTGGTGCGCAAGCAGGTGAGTTGGTGCGGCAGAGCAGGTGAGTGGTGCGGCAGGAGCAGGTGAGTGGTGTCGGCAGAGCAGGTGAGTGGTGCGGCAGAGCAGTGTGAGTGGTGCGCAGAGCAGGTGAGTGGTGCGGCAGAGCAGGTGAGTGGTGCGGCAGAGCAGGTGAGTGGTGCGGCAGAGCAGGTGAGTGGTGCGGCAGAGAGCAGTGAGTGGTGCGGCCAGAGCAGGTGAGTGGTGCGGCAGAGCAGGTGAGTGATGCGGCAGAGCAGGTGAGTGGTGCGGCAGAGCAGGTGAGTGGTGCGGCAGAGCAGGTGAGTGGTGCGGCAGAGCAGGTGAGTGGTGCGGCAGAGCAGGTGAGTGGTGCGGCAGAGCAGGTGAGTGGTGCGGCAGAGCAGAGGTGAGTGGTGCGGCAGAGCAGGTGAGTGGTGCGGCAGAGCAGGTGAGTGGTGCAGCAGAGCAGGTGAGTGGTGCGGCAGAGCAGGGAGTGAGTGGTGCAGCAGAGCAGGTGAGTGTGCAGCAGAGCAGGTGAGTGGTGCGGCAGAGCAGATGAGTGGTGCGGCAGAGCAGGTGAGTGGTGCAGCAGCAGAGCAGGTGAGTGGTGCAGCAGAGCAGGTGAGTGGTGCAGCAGAGCAGGTGAGTGGTGCAGCAGAGCAGGTGAGTGGTGCGGCAGAGCAGGTGAGTGGTGCGGCAGCAGAGCAGGTGAGTGGTGCAGAAGAGCAGGTGAGTGGTGCAGCAGAGCAGGTGAGTGGTGCAGCAGAGCAGGTGAGTGGTGCAGCAGAGCAGGTGAGTGGTGCGGCAGAGCAGGTGAGTGGTGCAGCAGAGCAGGTGAGTGGTGCAGCAGAGCAGGTTGAGTGGTGCAGCAGAGCAGGTGAGTGGTGCGACAGAGCAGGTGAGTGGTGCAGCAGAGCAGGTGAGTGGTGCAGCAGAGCAGGTGAGTGGTGCAGCAGAGCAGGTGAGTGGTGCAGCAGAGCAGGTGAGTGTGCAGCAGAGCAGGTGAGTGGTGCAGCAGAGCAGAGCTGGAGTGGTGCGGCAGAGCAGGTGAGTGGTGCGGCAGAGGCAGGTGAGTGGTGCGGCAGAGCAGGTGAGTGGTGCAACAGAGCAGGTGAGTGGTGCGGCAGAGCAGGTGAGTGGTGCGGCAGAGCAGTGTGAGTGGTGCAGCAGAGCAGGTGAGTGGTGCAAGCAGGTGTGTGTGCGCAGAGCAGGTGAGTGGTGCGGCCAGCGCAGCGTGAGTGGTGCGCAGAGCAGGGAGTGGTGCAGCAGAGCAGGTGAGTGTGCAGCAGAGCAGGTCAGTGGTGCAGCAGAGCAGGTGAGTGGTGCAGCAGAGCAGGTGAGTGGTGCAGCAGAGCAGGTGAGTGGTGCAGCAGAGCAGGTGAGTGGTGCAGCAGAGCAGGTGAGTGGTGCAGCAGAGCAGGTGAGTGGTGCAGCAGAGCAGGTGAGTGGTGCGGCAGAGCAGGTGAGTGGTGCAGCAGAGCAGGTGAGTGGTGCAGCAGAGCAGGTGAGTGGTGCAGCAGAGCAGGTGAGTGGTGCGGCAGAGCAGGTGAGTGGTGCGGCAGAGCAGGTGGTGCAGCAGAGCAGGTGAGTGGTGCAGCAGAGCAGGTGAGTGGTGCAGCAGAGCAGGTGAGTGGTGCAGCAGAGCAGGTGAGTGGTGCAGCAGAGCAGGTGAGTGGTGCAGCAGAGCAGGTGAGTGGTGCAGCAGAGCAGGTGAGTGGTGCAGCAGAGCAGGTGAGTGGTGCAGCAGAGCAGGTGAGTGGTGCAGCAGAGCAGGTGAGTGGTGCAGCAGAGCAGGTGAGTGGTGCGGCAGAGCAGGTGAGTGGTGCGGCAGAGCAGGTGAGTGGTGCAGCAGAGCAGGTGAGTGGTGCAGCAGAGCAGGTGAGTGGTGCGGCAGAGCAGGTGAGTGTTGCAGCAGAGCAGGGCACGGGGTGTGTGGGTGCTGGACTCGCTGCTGATAGCCTGGTGCTGGTGGTGGGGCGTGACGCCAGTAGCCCTGCTGTAGAGCACATGGGTGAGGTGACAGGGCATGGGGCGTGCCAGTGTGGTGGTCGAGGTGTGCCAGTAAAGAAAAATCTTCTACACCAACGAAGCAACACAACGAAGGTGTAGACGACAAGCACGTCCGGAAAAAAACCAGTCAAGATGGCTGAGGCTTACAACAAGAAGGGATGCGACGACGAGTATGATATGAAAGAAGAATGCCCCAGAGCAGTAAGAAAACACCTTTAGATAAGATTTGAATGGAAACGGAGCCTTGAGAGGTGGATAAAACAAAAGGACCAGGCGGGCACTGAACCCCGCTTATAATCTATGATTGGAGGTTTGTGCTACAGGTCCTGAGAGACATTCGTTTTAATTGCATCAATTGTTGGTTGTGAAAATCAGCCATTGAGCGTTTCCTTCGTTTGATCAGTAGCCACGGCCATACAATCGCACATGGGTCGCGGAAAGCGCGAGGCGGAGGGCAATCGGAGCGGTAATGGAGGTCGGGGGAAATCGAAGCGGCACAAGTCGCGATACCTGAACGCTGTGAGCCTTTAAACTTATGTCGCGACGCATTAGTCAACATAAACCGCCGGCAGGCGTGTACCAATGTTTTTCTTGGCTGACAGACGAATAACGACGATAATCAGCGACAATTCTGCAGGCGCGTTCAGTCGCGTTTCGGTCGCGAGTCGCGGCAGCATCCGTTGCGCGTCGCCGCTGCTATGATCTTGGCGGCGTCGCCGCTGTGATCTCCGCGGCGGCGTGCGCTCACCAGCCCGATCCGCCCCACTTCCCGCCCTTCCTCTTCAACCCCTTCCCCCCCTTTCCTTTCGTGCCCTCTCCTCCCGCTCGCGCACACACCTCCGTCTTCCCTCCCCCCTTCTCTTCTCCTCCTCCCATCGTGTGCTCCCACGGCGCCGCCTCTCCCCTCTGGTCCTCAGATCGCCTTGATCACTTAGGTTTACACAGAGCAGATTTTTCCGCTGTCGCCTCTCCCCTCTGGTCCTGATATCGCTTTGAGCACTTGGTCTTACACAGAGCGGATTTTCCCGCCGTCGCCTCTCTCCTCTGGTCCTCACCCGTCCGGCCCGTGTCGCCCGCTGTCCCCCTTCCCCTCCCCCCACCCCTGCTGTCCCCCTTCCCCTCCCCCCCACCCCCGCCGTCTCTCTTCCCTCCCACATCCCGGCCCACGAATCTCCGTTGCCATGCAACCAAAACCCGAAACTCTTGGTTGTTGCTCGCTCTCTCCCATGCACCCAAAACCCGAAACCCTTTGTTGTTGCTCGCTCTCTCCCATGCACCCAAAACCCCAACCTCGATCTCCTCTTTCGAAGTGGCGGCGGGCAGCAGCAGGCAGGGAGCGAGAGTGCAGGTGAAGGATCGATTGTTTCTTCCTTTGCTCCTTCACCCTAAACCCTATGATCCAGAATGGGGAGAAGGCGGCGCCCAGAATGTATGGCAGCAAGGGGGCTGGCAGGGGGAGGGATTGGAGGTGGTTTGCAACCGTTTCTTACTTCTGCTCCCCCCCCTTCTGCTCCTCTCCTCCTCTCCCTTCTGTGCCCCCACCTGCTGTTCCTCCTCACCCTTCTCCCCTCCCTCATTTCTCCTCCTCCCCCTTCTCCTCCTCCCCATTCTTCTCCTCCCCCCTCTGCTCCTCCGTCTTCTGCTCCTCCCCCCTCTGCTCCTTCTGCTCCGCCCCTCCCCCTCGTGCCCCTCCCCCTTCTGCTCCTCCCTCTCGTGCGCCTCAGAGTGGAGGGGGAGCGGGCCCCATCGCGAATGGCAACAGGGGGTGGCTGGTGTAGAGTGTGACCAGCAGGGAGAGAGAGTGCGGGCTTGTTGTTGTTGGAGTCGAAACAAAGTAAATTGTTCCTTTGATCCTCCTCCTTCCCTCTTCTGCGCCTCCCTCTCGTGCGCCTCAGAGTGGAGGGGGAGCGGGCCCTATCGCGAATGGCAGCAGGGGGTGGCTGGTGTCGAGTGTGACCGGCAGGGAGAGAGAGTGCGGGCGGGAGATTGTGAACGTGCTCGATGAGGTGAGGCACGAGCACACAGTGAGGGAGAGGAGGGGTGGGGGGGGTGGTAAGAGGTGATCAGGAGATCAGCTTGTGAGGTGACATGCACAGGGGATCAGCTTGATGAGGTGAGGTGGCAAGGAGGTGAGTGGAGCGCACAGGCAAACGATAGAACCTGGAGGGTAGGTAGATAGATGACTGGGCAAGCACTGGGGAAAGTGGTTGTGGAGGGCCTATCTGACTGAGCTGTTTTTGCTTTTCTTCCTTCCATCTCCCCTGCTTGCCCCACACGCCGTTGTGCGGCGGCAAGCTGGTGCCCGTGAAGGCGCGGGCTGAGGGGGAGGCAAGCACTGGGGAAGGTGGCTGGGGAGGGCTTATCTGACTGAGCTGATGTTGCTTTCTCCTCTGTTCGCCCCACACACAGTGGTGTGACAAGCTGGAGGCAGCAAGGCGCAGAGGAACGGATAGGGTGAGGCAAGCACTGGGGAAGGTGGCTGGGGAGGGCTTTTCTAACTGAGCTGATGTTGTTCCTACTCCTTCCATCTCCACTGCTTGCCCCACACACCGTTGAGCGACAATCTGGTGCCCATGAAGGTGCGGGCTGAGGGGGAGGCAAGCACTGGGGAAGGTGGCTGGGGAGGGCTTATCTGACTGAGATGATGTTGCTTTATCCCTGTTTGCCCCACACACAGTGGTGTGACAAGCTGGAGGCTGGCAAGGCGCAGGGGGAGGGGGAGGGGGAGGCACGGACTGGGGAAGGTGCATCTGCAGGGAAGGCGAAGGGGGGTTCGTCCATCGATGCGCTGCTGGCGAATGAAGTGGCAGCACTCAAGAAACAGGTGCGTGCGTGTGGAGAGGGGGTTGAGGAAACAGGTGTGTGTGTTTTGCAGCGGCTCACAGGTGCGTGGGATGGGTAGGTGGGTGCCTTTTCCCTCCTTTCCCCTTGTTGTTCCTTCACCCTCCCCTTATCTCCCTCCCACTCCCTCCCCTCGTATCCCTCCCTCTCCCTGTGTCCCCCAGGCTCGATTGCAATCGTGACCTCAGGCTACCAGGTGCCCCTGTTTTGAGACGTCTCAGGCTACCAGGTGCCCCTGTTTTGAGACGTCTCAGGCTACCAGGTGCCCCTGTTTTGAGACGTCTCAGGCTACCAGGTGCCCCTGTTTTGAGACGTCTCAGGCTACCAGGTGCCCCTGTTTTGTTCCCCTTGTGCATCCTCGCCTCCTTGTTCCCTCCTTTCTCTTCTCCCTCCCTTCCTTGTGCATGCCCCTCAGCCTCGGTTCATGAGTGTGTAGTCTGGGTGCAAGGCGCTGCTGTTCGCATAAATGCCCAGCACAAACACCCATCACTTCCCTCTCTCGCAATCCTCTTTTCCCTCCCTCTTCCTCCCCTTGCCCCTCGTCTTGTCCCTCCCCTTGTCCTGAACGCTCTCACCTGGTGACTTTTGAGTCGACTCAAAAGTCACCTGACTGAACGCTCTCACCTGGTCTCACTTCGGGGTGTGGAGTCTCGCTGGCTGCAAGGCGCTGCTGTTTGGACTCTTGCTGGCTGCAAGGCGCCGCTGTTTGCGAGAATGCTAAGTGGAAACCCTTATCGCTCCTCCTCTCTCTCCCATCGTCTTTCTCCCTCCCCTTGCCCCTACCGTTTGCCCTCCCCTCGCCCCTCCTGTTCGCCCGCCCCTTGACATCCCTCAGCCTCGGTTTGTGAGTGTGGAGTCTGGGTGCAAGGCACTGCTGTTTGAGAAAAAACGTTTTTTTTTTTTCCTTTGTCCCTCGTCTTGTCCCTCCCCTTCCCTCTCAGCCTCGGTTTGTGAGTGTGGAGTCTAGGTGCAAGGCGCCGCTGTTTCTGAGGATCCATCATCACCCCTCCCTCTCCCTCTCACTCCCCTTTCTCTGCTCGTCTTTCTCCCTCCCCTTGCCCCTGCTGTTCGCCCTCCCCTCGACATCCCACAGCCTTGGTTCGCGAGTGTGGACTCTGGGTGCAAGGCGCTGCTGTTCGTGAGAATGCTCAGTGCAATTTCCAATCACGTCTCCTCTCCCTCCGCTCGTCTTTCTCCCTCCACTCGTCTTTCTCCCTCCCCTTGCCCCTACCATTCGCCCGCCCCTTGACGTCCCTCAGCCTCGGTTCGTGAGTGTGGAGTCTGGGTGCAAGGCACTGCTGTTCGTGAGGATTAGAGAGGATGCCAGGAAGGGGGGGAAGGGAGAGAAGGGAGGAAAGCAGTTGGAGGAGGGAGAGGAGAAGGAGGAGGAGGGTGAGAAGGAGGAGGTGGGGAAGACGGAGGAAGGGGAAAAGGAGGAGGAGAAGGGTGAAGGAGACAAGGAGGGGAAGGAGGGGGATAAGGCCGGGGAAAAGGAGCAGGAGAAAGAGCAGGAGGAAGAGGTTACAGGAGGAGGAGAGAAGGAACCGGAGAAGGAGGGACAGGGAGGGGAGGGGGAGAAAGGGGAGGCAGGGGGAGAGCAGGGAAGGGTGTCGCCGTGTGAGTTGGCAGAGGCGGTGCTGCGGCATGCCAAGGCCACCCAGCAGTCAGCCACTCGGTGGGTGTGGGGTAGTGGGTGTGGGGCAGTGGGTGTGGGGCAGTGGGTGTGGGGCAGTGGGTGTGGGGCAGTGGGTGTGGGGCAGTGGGTGTGGGGCAGTGGGTGTGGGGCAGTGGGTGTGGGGCAGTGGGTGTGGGGCAGTGGGTGTGAGGCAGTGGGTGTGGGGCAGTGGGTGTGGGGCAGTGGGTGTGGGGCAGTGGGAGTGAGGCAGTGGGTGTGGGGCAGTGGGTGTGGGGCAGTGGGTGTGGGGCAGTGGGTGTGGGGCAGTGGGTGTGGGGCAGTGGGTGTGAGGAAAGCACGTCTCATCACTTCACCCCCCTGCCCTTGTCACTTCACCCCCCTGCCCTTGTCACTTCACCCCCCTGCCCTTGTCACTTCACCCCCCTGCCCTTGTCACTTCACCCCCCTGCCCTTGTCACTTCACCCCCCTGCCCTTGTCACTTCACCCCCCTGCCCTTGTCACTTCACCCCCCTGCCCTTGTCACTTCACCCCCCTGTGCTGGTCACTTATCCTGCCTACCTGTAGTGAACTTGTGCCAGTTTTCTTCTTTCTCCCCCTCTTTGATTCAATTCTCACTCTCCCTTCAGTTTCTGTCACTCATTATCCCCTACGTTTGCACCTGCCCTGCCCACCCCTACATACACCACCCCTTACATACACTGCCCTGGCTCCCACTCTGGTCAACATCTTGACATACGTATTTCAGGAGGAGGGCCCCGGACCACCTGGATCATCTTGATCACATTCCTTGCAACGCTTCTGCTTTGCAGTGCCCAAGATACCCGAGTACTTCACTGTATGGCACTCCTTCTCACACTCTCCTTCTCACACCCTCCTTCTCTCACTCTCCTTCTCACACTCTCCTTCTGTGTGCAAATCAAAACAAGCAGCGCATATCGTCTCTCTCATCCCCCCTTGCTCTCCCTTCTGCTCTCCTCTCCCTTCCCCCCTTACTCCCCTCCCCCTCCTCAGGCGGCAAGGCGACAACATGAGCGTAATCGGAAAGGTGATGGCAGAAAGCTTGCTTGTGATTGGTTAATAAGCAGAAATGGGGTACAAGAGAGGGGAAGAAAACCCCCCTAAAATCCTGAAAAAACCCCCCCACAGCCCCCCCAAGGCCCCCCTAAGGCCCCCCTACCCCCCAATTCTCCTCACAGCCCCTCACAGCCCCCCTCGAACCGCCCTGGAAATCCCTGGGCATGGCCCATGCATATCTGCTCCCTGTCATATCACATTCCTGCTTCTGCTTCTACTTTGTGCTTCCTACTATCTATCATATCCCTCCCGGGCATGGCATGGCATGGCCAACCAGGGATGGGCGCACAGCACAGAGAGCCAAGAGCTCATCCACCACTCCCTCTTCTGTTCTGCTTCTGCTCCCCACTCCCCTCCCTTTTCCCTCACCCCTCCCCCCTTTCTCTGCCCGCCTGCGTATATAATAACAAGCACATACATTCATATTCGCTAGGTCATCAAATCTATAAGTCATCTATCACTCTACGCGTCGTAGCAAATAGCCTCGTGTTGTCGACAGGAGAAAATGGAACATGCGCTCCCTCCTTGTGCGTCTGTTTCTCTCTCTTCTTCTCCCTCATGTCTTGCCCTGCGCATGGCTGAACACAAGCAGGTGGCAACACATCTACTCCCTGTTTCCGTTTCTGCCACTCTTTCATATCCCAAACCTGGCCCAAACCAAACCTGCACTCCCCCCATCCCCCTGCACATATAATAACAGGCTCATACATTTATGTTCCTAACGTAATCAGATTCATCAATCCCTACCACTCTACACATTGCAAGCCAAGTGTCTTCGTCTTGGCGACAGGAGGGAAGCTGGCACCTGCGCAAGGGGAGGGGGGGAGTTGGGGTGGGGGAGAGGGGAAGCGGAGCAAGTGAGCGGGGGGAGCAGGGCAAGTGAGGGGATGGCAGGAGGTGTGAGGGCATGGTGGGATGGCAGGTGTGAGGGATATGGCAAGGTGTGCAGTGCATGCTCTGGGGCGACTCACAACGCACCTGGGGCCGGTTTGGTGGGCCATGCAGCATGGCATGGCGCTGCGCTCCCTCCTCCTGCTTCTGTTTCTCTCCCTTGTTCTCTCTCATGTCCCGCGCATGGATGATGAGGGACGGCCGCACAAGCAGCTGGCAACGCATCTGCTCCCTGTGCAAAGTATCTTCATCTTGGCGACAGGAGAAACTGGCACCTGCGCAAGGGGAGGGGAGGAGTTGGGGTGGGGGAGCAGAGCAAGTGAGCGGGGGGAGCAGGGCAAGTGAGCGGGGGGAGCACCCTAAACCCCCTTACCCCCTTACCTGGCAGGAAATGAAAGTCACCATGCAGGGAATGCAACCCACCAGCCAGGGCATGAACAGGCACCATGCAGGGCATGAGAAGGCACCTGGCAGAAGGGGTAAAGTGGGAAAAGAGGGGAGGGGGTGGGTGAGACAAGCTCAAATGGGCAGGCGCTGCACTGGCAGCTGGCAGAAAGGGGAGGGGAGAGGGTGGCTTGGACGTCTCCCCTTGAGCAAAGAATGCACACAGGAACAACAAACAAGCAAGCAAAACAAACTGAAACAGACAAACAAACAAACAAACAGGAAATATTGGGATGGAAAGAGGGGACGGGGTGAGTGAGACCTCTTCAATCAACATGCGCTACACTGGCACCTGCTGGAAACGGGAGGACAGAGGGGAGGTGTTGAGTGTGACACCTCAAAACATTATGCCTTGCACTGGCACCTGCTGGAAAGGGGAGGAAAATGGCATCATGCAAGGAATGAGAAGGCATCATGCAGGGAACGGCAAGGCACCTTGAGGGAATGAGAAGGCACATGATTTTTATGTGCCCTAGTACATTGTTTTGCTTTTGTGTTCATACATCCATGCATCGTTCTGGTTCACTCTTACCACGTGGGCGTGCGCGTCAGCTTGCCCCACCCCGTGCTGCACTGTCACGCCCCGCTGGCAGCTGCTGAAACACGGGGAGGGAGGGAGGGAGGGAGGGAGGGAGGGAGGAGAGGGGAGGGGAGGGGAGATGAGGCATTGGTCAAATGACTCGAAACAGAGGGGAGAGAGGAGGGGATTGGTCAAATGACTCAAAACAAAGAGGAGAGAGGAGGGGATTGGTGAAAAGACTCAAAACTGAGGGGAGAGAGGAGGGGATTGGTCAAATGAGTCGAAACAAAGAGGAGAGAGGAGGGGATAGGTGAAATGACTCAAAACAGAGAGAGAGGAGGGGATTGGTCAAATGGCTCAAAACAGAGGGGAGAGAAGAGGGGATTGGTCAAATGACTCAGAACAGAGGGGAGATAGGAGGGGATTGGTCAAATGATTCAAAACAGAGGGGAGAGACGAGGGGATTGGTCAAATGACTCAAAACAAAGAGGAGAGAGGAGGGGATTGGTGAAAAGACTCAAAACTGAGGGGAGAGAGGAGGGGATTGGTCAAATGAGTCGAAACAAAGAGGAGAGAGGAGGGGATAGGTGAAATGACTCAAAACAGAGAGAGAGGAGGGGATTGGTCAAATGACTCAAAACAAATAGGAGAGAGGAGGGGATTGGACAAATGACTCAAAACAAATAGGAGAGAGGAGGGGATTGGTCAAATGACTCAAAACAGAGAGGAGAGAGGAGGGGATTGGTGAAATGACTCAAAACTGAGGGGAGAGAGGAGGGGATTGGTCAAATGACTCAAAACAAAGAGGAGAGAGAGGAGGGAATTGGTGAAATGACTCGAAACAAAGAGGAGAGAGGAGGGAATTGGTTAAATGACTCAAAACGAATAGGAGAGATGAGGGGATTGGTCAAATGACTCAAAACAGAGGGAAGAGAGTAGGGGATTGGTCAAATGACTCAAAACAGGGGGAAGAGAGGAGGGGATTGGTCAAATGACTCAAAACAAAGAGGGGAGAGGAGGGGATTGGTCAAATGACTCAAAACAGAGGGGAGAGAGTAGGGGATTGGTCAAATGACTCAAAACAGGGGGAAGAGAGGAGGGGATTGGTCAAATGACTCAAAACAAAGAGGAGAGAGGAGGGGATTGGTCAAATGACTCAAAACAGAGGGGAGAGAGGAGGGGATTGGTCAAATGACTCAAAACAAAGAGGAGAGAGGAGGGGATTGGTCAAATGACTCAAAACAAAGGGGACAGAGGAGGGGATTGGTCAAATGACTCACAACGCACCTGGGGCTGGTTTGGTGGGCCATGCGGCATGGCATGGCGCTGCGCTCCCTCCTCCTGCTTCTGTTTCTCTCCCTTGTTCTCTCTCATGTCCCGCGCATGGATGAACAGGGACGGCCACACAAGCAGCTGGCAACGCATCTGCTCCCTGTGCAAAGTATCTTCATCTTGGCGACAGGAGAAACTGGCACCTGCGCAAGGGGAGGGGAGGAGTTGGGGTGGGGGAGCAGAGCAAGTGAGCGGGGGGAGCAGGGCAAGTGAGCGGGGGGAGCACCCTAAACCCCCTTACCCCCTTACCTGGCAGGAAATGAGAAGGCACCATGCAGGGAATGCGAATGCACCTGGCAGGGCATGCCAAGGCACCATGCAGGGCATGAGAATTTACCGGGCAGGGCATGAGAAGGCACCATGCAGGGCATGGGAAGGCACCTGGCAGAAGGGGGGAAGTGGGGAAAGAGGGGAGGGGGTGGGTGAGACATGCTCAAATGGGCAAGCGCTGCACTGGTACCTGGCAGAAAGGGGAGGGGAGAGGGTGGCCTGGATGTCTCAACGTTCCCCAGAGCGCCATGAGCAGCGCCGTCGTTGTCGTTGGCGTGTCAGCGGCATGGCAATTGGCATGACAGCGGCGTGGCATCGGCGCCCTGAAGCGGAGCTAAACGGAAATCGCCATGTTTGGTGGCAGATTTTGGATGTGGAATGCCGCATTGCTGCTGGCTCCTGGAACGGCAGATGACGAGCTTGTGCTGGCTGCAGCGTGCCTGCCATGACCATGCACACGTCAGCACGAACACGGACAAGCAGAAATCGGAACAAACGGAGCTAAGAAGAGGGAATCTACGAAGAAAACGAAATTACTGGAAACAAGACTGAAGATAGCGTGAGTAAGAAAGCGGGCTTACGAAATACTAATGCCATGGCCCATGGCGGATGGCGATCCAAAAGAGAGGCTGCGCTCTTGAGTAGAATGGCTTGAGATTGAAACGAGATCTGGAAAAAAAAAAAATAGCAAACGAAATCACGAAAAACGAAACTACGATAGCGTGACTGCGACTAAGAAAGCAGGCTTACGAAATGGTGATGCCATGCCCCATGGCGGAGGGCGATCTAGAAGAGAGGCTCGGATGTTGAGTTGAGATAGAGTGGCGGATGATAAGAATCGAGGTCTGAAAAACGGGAGTGGGAGTTAGGTGAGCGATTGTGAGCCCAGCCCACTCACATCACGTTTCGTGCACTTTCTGGCTTGCTTGGTCCCCCTGAACGAACGTGGGTTCGTGGTGCAAAGTGGATGTACTGAAGTAGCGTTCTGCACAGTGCTACGTCGGCAGCGCAGTGACAAAGTCGGAAAGTCGGTTTGGGTGCCCTGCGTATATGCAGTCCGACACTCCGATACAGCGAGCGCGACCCAAAGTGAATGTGCCAGCATTTACAGTGACAAATTCGCAGCGCGAATAGGTTTCGCTCGTCAGCTGTGCCCAAAACGAGAACAGCAAAACAGTATCTTGCAAAACTACAGCTTTCCACATGTCAGTAAACAGAACAGATTTTGCTGATTTACAAGCTACACATGTAAGTTGACAAATATGTTTGTGTAATCTGGAGCTTATGCATGTAGGTCAACAAATCAATGACAAATTAGCTCTGGAATAATGAGCTGAATATTAAGGAACGTGCGCATCTGCATGCGTATATGCATGAATACTTGCATGTCTGGTACCTACCTATTTAATCTAGACGCGCGTAGACATACGTATGCATCCGTACGTATGCCTTCATGCACGTAGTGCGTCTACCTACCGTACACACTCGTACGCGACGCAT